CCTCGATCCTGGATCCGTCCCTGATTTAAAACTATCAATAGTCATACTTAAACTGCGGACTTATTTGAAAGAAGGAAAGAAATAAGCTCACTTAAGTAGAAATATGACAAAAATTATACCAATTTGCAATATAGTACAAACATAATAGATCTCGATGAAATTCTAATGCTTGTTGTATTGTGGATTAGTCCAAATTATCCTTGTCCATCACATTTGGCTTCGACCAAAAATCCATGCTAATAAAATTAAAACTCAATTGTACAACAGAGACCAAAATTTTAGTGACGATTCTTTGTTATTGTCAAATTTAAATCAACTTTGAACATAATATTTTATTTTATTTTATTTTTTTAATTAATCCTAGTGGATAATAACCAAGAGCACAGTGTTGTTAGTATTATTAGCCAAATGGACAGCACGTGCCCCACTCATAAATAAAATGGTAATTCGAATGGAATGTTAGGGTACAAGAAATTAATTTATTATTATTTACAATAGTTGCACGTTTTTTGATTAGGTAAATGCATGCATGCATAGATTCATGCGAGGCAATGTCTGACTTTAAATATAATATTTTCCGATATGTTCCATGCAAACTGCCCAAAGTGTCAATTATAATCAATTTATATGTATAAAATTAGGTTACAAAGTTGGTTGACAAAATAACATCCACACAAATTATTTTAAAAACAGATTTTTAAATCAACGGTCTGAATTTTGCCAACACACTTTATAACCCAACTTTTGTAACTCAACTTTGTACAAATAGTTTTATTGAATGAAAATATTTATTTCCAAAAAGAGCAAGTGTTCACGATACATTATTTCATTTATTTATTTTTTTTCTAAAAAAACCCCGTCGTCTAATCTTAAGTAAGAAAAAAATAATTAATATAATTGGAATAAAAGATTTAATTACTATAATTAAAATATATATATATATATAAAAAGAGCAAGTGTTCATGATACATTATTTCATCCCCAATGTTAAGTTTGCTTTCCTTGTCATACATATTAATGAAAATTAAATTAATATTATTGGAATAATAAAATTTATTTATATTTTTCCTAACATATGACTACTTTGAATAATAGTTTAATTACGAGTAATTCCTATATATCGATAAAAATGAACATTAAATAGGAGTATATTAGAATACTAAGAAATTAACTATACTTTCAACAAGGAAATTGACATATAATTTAGAACAAATGAAAAAAATAAAGCAAGTCCATTTTTATAAAACGGATGGAATATAAAATTTCTGATTAATTTAACCACAAATTTCATAAAATCTAAAATTTTTATCAGCTTTTCAATCATACATTTCGTTAAATTTTATCAGAATTTACTAAAACTTTAATTAAAAGTTGTGTCATCAACCCCATAGTCTCTGTTTGGGAGGGATTTAGATTTTTCTACAGTAAATCAATTCTCATTTTCAACCACACATTTTTCAATAAAAATAATATTTTCCATCACATCAATAATTTTTTATTCTTTTTTAATCACACATTTCCCATCATATCACTGTTCAAAATCAATTCTCCCCCCAAAAATCCCTCCCAAACAAGTTCTAAATGAGGATGTATTAAATTATTGAATGTTCTACATAATTAAATTATTTAACCTATTTTATTCTATCTCTACGCAAACTACAAATCGTATATCCATGAGAACAAAATTTACATCAATTTGAAATAAAATAAAAATGGATAATGTAAAGTAATTTCTAGCACAAATTATTTTATGCAACATTAAAATGTGGATATAATTTCTTATTTGGAAAACAAAAATGTAAAGTCATTTCAGAGACTTGTCACGGGTAAGGGATCTGTGTTGAAACTTTGTAAAGGCATTTGTCTTGGATTCGCGTTTAATCCATGTTTGGTGGAAATTAAAATCAAATTTTTAATAAATTTTGATAAAAAAAATTGATGAAATATATGGTTGAGAAGTTATGAATCTCGTAAAATATGCTGTTAAAATTTATCATTAATTTTAATTTAGATTAAAATCTCCGCCAAACATGAATTTAAAACTTCTATTTATTTAATATATTATAGCCATAGGCACTTAGATATATATAAACACAAATAGACAATTTTAATACCAAATATTATCAACACATTTGTCTAAACTCGATAAGTTTGCTTATAAGAATAGAGAAATGCTATACTTACACACTTAGTACACAAATTGGTACACAATCATCTCACATGTGTGTGGGTCCCACAATGTGGGTCCCATTGTTGGCCCCACACATAGTGAGAGAGTTGTGTATCAAGTGTGTACAAGTAGCAAATTTGATAAGAATATGAACAAATAATTAAACTTCTTTTATTGGAGATAATTATAAAAGAATAAATTATTTATTTTTGACAAGTTTATTTTTAAATACAGACAAAAAATTCCTTACATAATTGGAAATAAAAAATGTACTCAAAAGTCAAAAGTAACTTACATTTTCATAAGTGGAGCCAAACATGCCGAATGTAGCACCAGACAACAATGTTTGAGCAAATAAAAAATTCAAGTAAGAGGACTTTCATTTTCACCTCACATGTTCATGGTACTCTTTAAATTCACCTTTATTAACCTTTTAAAATACTGGTCCTAACCACTCAAAAAGAATGTTTTTTCAACTTTTATAATTTTTTATTCAGGTAGAAATAATATAAATTGTTACCCTTGGCCCCGTCGCCTTATTGGCTGGGTATCTGTGCGGACCAACGCCTAGCCGATAGGCGCCCCCTGTTGGTCCAGGGCCCACGTGGCCCTGGACGAATAGCAAAACCCTTTGTTTTTTCACAATTAAATTTGTTTGCCTTTTATCAATTTAGGCATACATTTGATTCAGATAAAAA